GCCGGGTTCGATTCCTCCACGCCTCTCGGAGGGCCTGGAAAGCTACTGAGAGTATCTAGCCCGCATGGCAAGAATATTCGATATGCCAAACACAGTAACAACAAGTCTCACAATGGAGACATTACTGGGTCTGCTCGAGCAAATCAATGAAAAATGGGAGGACAGTGCTACAGTTCTACAGTGAATAGTGCTGCAATGAACAGAGGAGTGCAGATGTCTTTTCTACATTGTGTTTTTGACAACTTGGCATATATTCCCAGGAGTAGAATTGCTGGGTTGTATGGAAACTCACAGCAGGTAGGGCTTTTGCCTTGCAATATGCCAAACACAGTAACAACAAGTCTCTCAACGGGGATGTTACTGGGCCTGTTTGAGAAATCGATGAACAACGGGAGGACAGTGACAGTGATGGAAACTCAATTTTTAGTTTTTTGAGGAATGGCCGTATTGTCTTCCAAAAAGACTGAAGTAGTCGACACTCCCAACAGCAGTGAATGAGAGTTCCCTCCTTCCTACTCCATCCTCGCCACTCATCCACACCAACACTGGTTGTTCTTTTGATTATTGCCAGTCTCTTTGGTACGAAATGATTCTCATTATTGTTTTGATTTGCATTTCTCTGATGATTAGTGATTTAAAGCATTTTTTCATATGCCTTTTGGCCATTTGTATTTCTTCTTTGAGAAAGTTTCTGTTCATCTCCTTTCCTCCCCCTTTTTTTTCTTTTTGGGTCATACCCGGCGATGCTCAGGGGTTACTCCTGGCTCATGCACTCAGGAATTACTCCTGGCGGTGCTCAGGGGACCATATAGGATGCTGGGAATCGAACCTGTGTTGGCCATGTTGGCTGCGTGCAAGGGAAATGCCCTACCCGCTGTGTTATCGCTCCAGCCCCTCCCATTTTTTGATGGGATTTGATTTTTTTCTTTTCCTTGTAAAGTTCTTCCAATGCTTTAGATACAAAATGCCTAACTCTTGGTTCTCTCAGACTTTGACAGTTCTTGTTCCATATCTAGCTTTTGATTTAAAGGGAGTTATATATAATAAGGTCCAGATTTTGATTTAAAGGGAGCGATATACGGCTCTTCACTTGCATACTTAGAGGCTATTGCAGAGTTAGGAGTTGGCCACGATTTCAATATTGCTGTGTCTCAGGAAGCTGGGAATCCTGAAGAGAGGGAGAGAAATGGAAACAGTTGACAGGTGAAACCATCATAACACACACATAGTTATGGTTTTATTCACCATCTTTTATTGGTTCAATGTGTGCTCTTCATGGCAATTATAACAGTAACATAAAATATTACTCATCATAGATCACTGTAACAGATACAGTGATGGTAAAAATGTCTAAAATATTGTCAGAATTACTAAAATACTATTGTAAAACAGCACCAATAGACTTGTTCAATGCAAGGTTGCAACAAATCTATTTACAAAACCCACAGTCTCTGTAAAGTGTAATTAAAGGGCGTTTGCCAGTAAATGATTGTATAATAGAATACTGCAAAGAACCTTTTTTATGTACTGATGGGGGTAAGCCCTAAATACCTTCTTAAGAGGGAAAAAACAACACTCACCTCCAAATCTCCCCCTCCCAGTCTCCCCCTCCCCAGTTAGGACCAGCATGCGTATTTGCTGCCATTTGTGTTATGGACAAAATAATACCTACATCTAGGTGTCCATTTTGAACCTATCTTCTTGTAGTTAGGCAATAGGATACCCAGTGTTTATCAAACAACATGTGGCTGCTCACTGCTCTAAGTGCCTTCTATATCCACTTCCTATATATACTAACTCATAATTTTCACAATAGATCTCTGAGATTGGGACTCTTATTATATTTCCCATTTTATACAAGAGGAAATTCAGATATCAAATGGTTCTGGAACCCTGGGAGCAAGCGGGAGAGTGGGAGTGAGGAAAGGTAATGGATGGAATAGAGAAAGAGGAGGGAGAGATGGGTGACCCAATCTTTTGTAACTGTCACGGGAACTCTCACACCTACTAGAAGCAGCCCCTAACTTCTAATGATTGGACTAATCGTTTTGTGATCTTCCCTATGGCTTCAGTAGAGGCCATGTTTTGGATTTTAAATTTTGGATTTTCCTTGATTATAACTATGTGATCCCAACCTCTAGGTGATGCTGGACAGTGACAATGAGCTATGTCATCTTGCCAGCCGGGAGATCAAGAATGAAGCTCTATAGCCCACTTTCCTCTCAGTATGGTATTCAATCAGCTGCATGAGACAGTCAGCACTTGATTCTAAAACAGGCTTGTGTAAACCCAGCTGGAGGCTGATACACGTATTCTGTCCATTTTGAGGCAGACTAGGCAAAGCTATGATATATTTAGGGCAAGTTTATTGTATATATTTTGACTTGCAGTCATATATGTAAATATATATAGAGAGAGTAACTTTGAAATCCACAGTGATTCCTATATATATATATATATATATCTTTTATATAAAAAATAACACACAGCAGGTAGGGCGTTTGCCTAGCACACGGCCGACCTGGGTTTGATTTCTCCGTCCCTCTCGGAGAGCCCGGCAATCTACCGAGAGTATCCTGCCCTCATGGCAGAGCCTGGCAAGCTCTCCATGGCCTATTCTATATGCAGTAATAATTCCATATACAGTCACAACAATTCGATATACAGTAACAACAAGTCTCTCTGGAGGATGGTGCAACAGTGCTACAGTGCTTTAAAAAATCATTGTGCATTAAGAAGTTAGAAAATTATCTATGATTTTTTTCCATTAAAGTTGCACTCACTGGGGGTCTAATCTCCTTGTTAACTGATAATCTGTAAAAGGACATGTCTGCTCTGGTTGCTGCTGCGTCATACCTACCTGGAAGCAACCATCTGCACACGAGGTGTTGGAAGCAACATTCAACCATAAAGCCAGAACATTTGGGTTATGGGTCTCACCCAGCATTACCATATTCTTTCCAGACACTGCTGTCATTTCCTGTAAAAAAAATCTTGGCGTGAAGGTCAGGTGATAGTAACCGTAAATGATAATAGTATTTTAGGGTTTCACCTAGTTATAACTTTCACATTCTGTCAAGTACTGAGCATCTTGTCAAATCCAGATAACTGATCTTCTGCCCCCACTCCTTCCTTCATTTATTTTCTGCCGAGGTGGGGGAGGCATTACACCTGACAGTGCTCAGAGCTTAAACCTGGCTCTGCACTCAAGGATCATCCCTAAGGTTCAATGCGCTGTGCAGGTTTCAAATTGGATTTAGCCTCATTCAAGACAGCCCCCAAATCCCTAGTCTGTCTGTCTGGACCCCTTCTTGTCCTTAAAGACTTTCCCTCCAGGTCCACTCAAAGGAAAAAGGGAACTTGAAAAGGAGAGGCTGTGCCTCTAACCCAGAGTCCCACACTCACACCACACCCACCTTTCACCCTCAAGGGCTACTCCCACTGCCTCCAGGGGGCTGAACATGCAGGCTGGTGGTGGTGGTGGTGGGGAGGGTGTTAATATTCTATGAGCATGACAGGGCACCAAGGCTCTAAGTGAAGACAATGATTCTGACTGAGAATTTACACGTGGACACAAATCCTCTTGGAATTCTAAACGCTTTCCAAAAGCATTTTATTCCTCAACTATCTTGTTCAATGCTAATTGCTCATTCTGCCAGATGGTCTATTAGGCTGGAACTCTTCGAAACAGTGCACAATGGTCCCATTTCAATGCCGTATTTTGGATCTTCAATCCTTCCCTTCCTCCTTCTCTCTCTGCTACCTTCCCTTTCGCCTTCCTTCCCTCCCCCTCTCCTTTCCTCCCTCCCTTCCTCCCTCCCTCCCGCCCTCCCTCCCTTCCTTCCTTCCTTCCTTCCTTCCTTCCTTCCTTCCTTCCTTCCTTCCTTCCTTCCTTCCTTCCTTCCCTCCTCCCTCCCTCCCTCCCTCTGCCCCCACTCCTTCCTTCATTTATTTTCTGCCGAGGTGGGGGAGGCATTACACCTGACAGTGCTCAGGGCTTAAACCTGGCTCTGCACTCAAGGATCATCCCTAAGGTTCAATGCGCTGTGCAGGTTTCAAATTGGATTTAGCCCCTCCCTCCCTCCCTCCCTCCCTCCCTCCCTCCCTCCCTCCCTTCCCTCCCTCCCTCTTTCCCTCCCTCCCTCCTTCCCTCCCTCCCTTCTTTCTTCCTTCCTTCCTTCTCCCTTTTCCTTCTCTACCTTCTGTCAATGAGAGGCCTGCTGCTGGGGTGCTGGCCACTGCTCTCCAGTCTTAAGTCCCAGGTGCAGTCCAAAGAAGGAACGTGGCTTCCAGCCTCTGGCAGTTTTATGACGAGTCTCATTCATAGGGCAGTGATTACTCACAACTGATGCTCACTGACCAAGCCCAACAAAAGTGCGGCACCCTCCGAATACCACTCACAGACACAAATATTTGCCTGGCTCACGTGGACCAGGAGGAGGATGTGCAAAGCCTCCGGGAGGAAGCACATGATCTCACTTCCCAGAGCAGCCTCCGGGTGCAGCAGAAGGCACACGGTTTATAGCCTCGACGGTCCTGGTTTGCCAGGGCTTCCATTCATGACCAGTGGGGCCAGCGACCATCAAGCTGCCTTTCCTGCTCCCCTCATGGGGGAGGGGGGGGAGATGTGAAAGCAGCAGTTATTCCCCCAGCAGCACGCGAGGCTCGCTGGCCCGCCTGTCCCCCACGGGGCTAATGATGGACGGCAGGTTGATGTTTGGGCTTGATGACAGGTCTTGGGGAAGCTGTATTTTTACCCTCTGGACAAATAGCAGTTGGGCCGAGTGGGGCTCTTTTATGAGTTGAGGTACTCAGGGTTGGAAAATAAACAGGAGGCTAATGAGACGTTCGTATGGAAACTGGCATAAATAATAACAAAGGAAGCATCCTGTCCTCGTGCCCACACCCTCTCGGGAGGGGCTATAAAAGCCATCACTCAGTTGGCCGCTGTCAGACGTGGGGGACCTCCGGCCGCGTTCTTGACCTGCGACCTGACCACCATGGGGTGCTGCCCAGGGGACTGCTTCACCTGCTGCCCGCAGCAGGAGTGCTGCGAGGAGTGCTGCTGCCAGCCCGCCTGCTGCGGGGGCTGCTGCGGGAGCTGCTGCGGCTGCGGCGGCGGCGGCTGCGGCGGCGGCGGCTGCGGCGGCGGCGGCTGCTGTGGCTCCTCGTGCTGCGGCGGCAGCGGCTGCGGAGGCGGCGGCTGCGGTGGCGGCTGCGGAGGCTGCGGCGGCTGCGGCGGCGGCTGCTGCGGCGGCTGCGGTTGCTGCGGCTCGTCGGGGGGCTGCTGCGGGCCGGTGTGCTGCCAGCCCGCGCCCGTGTGCGACACCAAGTGATGAGGAGCCCTCGCCCCGCCGTGGAGGCCGACCCCGGGCCCAGCTGCAGCGGCTCTCGGCGGAGACTCCCCCCCTGTCTCCAGGACCTTTTCTGCGCCCCAGACAAGTGTCCTGTCGTCCGCGCCTCCCTGCAAAGGAGGGCTCGGTCCCCGCACCGAGCCCCAGAGTCGCCGGACACTCGGAGCAAGAGCCAAGAGCCAGCGAGAGACTTCAGACTCTCGCCCTAGCGGGGAGCCCCGACGCTCGCAGGCTGCGCCCCGCTGACTTTCCTCGCCGGGACTTAGGCTTCTTGTCACCGGGAGGCGTCGGCTTATTCGAGGGCGCTTTGGGACTGACCCCTCTCCCAGCTTTCTGCTGCTTTTGAGATGCAAACATTCCTCTTGGTTAACTTCTTAATAAATTCGAGCATGCTGGCATAACCAAACTAGTTATCCTGCCTCTTCTTTCTCTCCCTCTCGTGCACTGAGCACCCACTGGAGGGTTTTGTTTTGGGTTTTTGCTTTTATTTATTTATTTATTTTTTTGGTGCTCATTGAAATGCTTTTTTTTTTTTTTTTGTCTCGCCAGCATCAGAATGACCGACGGGTATAGCTGAGTAGGAAATTGCCAGTTGTCGGCGGGTACTGACATTCACATTTGCAGCGCCCAGATCCAGATCCGCAGGGACAGGAGAGCTGGGCTTTTCAGCTAGAACTCAGATGTAGACTAAAGCTTTATCTGGCTGTTCAAGTCTTTTGGGGGTTGTTTTTTTGTTTGTTTGTTTTTGCTTTTTGGGTCACAGCCAGCGTTGCACAGGGGTTTACTCATGGCTCGTGCACTCAGGAATTACTCCTGGCGGTGCTTGGGGAACCATATGGGATGCTGGGAATAGAACCCCGGTCCGCCGCGTGCAAGGCAAACGCCCTGCCCTCTGTGTTATCCCTTCAACCCCTGTTTGTTTTGTTTTAAGGCAGACCTCCACGCTTTTTATTTTTAGATAAAATAACCAGGGTGGGAGCCCAGAAACCTGTGTTTAAAAATTATTTTTCGGGAAGGGGGGCATGCTGATGCTGGCCAGTTTTGAATGAGAGGCATGCTTGCTGCCACTGCAGTTCTTCTAGAAGGTTCTGCAGAAGAACTTAGGGCCTGCTCAGAACTTTCTGGCTAAGTCAGGGGAGTGGTTTTGGGAAAGCAAGTGTGGTTATGAGGGAAGGGATTCCTGTGCAGGGACCCCAGTAAGCCCACAGACACTAAGAACGTTCTGGGAAGTGGGGCTCCTTCTTGCTGCCTCGGCCTGATCAAGATTTCCTTTCTGGGTTCTTTTTCCTGGCCCTGGATCCCGCTTTTTCTCTTCTGCTTGAGTCCCAGATACCTGGGAACCACTGGAAGGCAAAAATTTAGGAGAATTAATTTGACCTCCCCCTAAAAGTGATTTAAGTTTCGTGTGGAATAAAACAAATACAGAGCTAGCTCTGGGAGAATTATATTTATTTTTAATCCTACAAAGCAGTGGTTTCTTCAATAAACAAAGTATATTTTTTATAATCAAAACATAACCATGATTTCTAACTATGGAAAAAAAGGACAGAAAATATAAAGAAGAAAATCTAGCTCTCTGAATTCTCATAACTCAGTTTATTACTGACCTGTTATCTATCCTGTGTTCTCTCCTAAGCATATTTATAAGTGAAAAAAAGGTTATGCTTATTTTACATCCTTTTCTTTTAAAAAAACTTTTAAAAAAATCATCATTTTTCAGGTATGACTTAACTATAATAAAAATACTTCCATTTTAGTGAAAGGTTTGATAAGATACAACAGTTTTATATATTTAGGCAATTCCCATCTCACCAAAGATACAACTTCAGTGTCAGGGATTTAACACACACAGCGGGTAGGGTGTTTGCCTTGCACATGGCCGACACGGCCAACCTGAGTTCGATTCTTCTGCCCCTCTTGGAGAGCCCGGCAAGCTACGGAGAGTATCTCGCCCGCACGGCAAAGCCTGGCAAGCTACCCATGACGTATTTGATATACCAAACACAGTAACAAGTTTCACAATGTTACTGGGCCCTCTTGAGCAAATCAATGAACAACAGGAGTACAGTGACAGTGACAGGAATAGCCACCGAGAATCCCTGAGTGTGACCTAGACTTGCCTCCCCAAATCAAGATTTTTGGGCTGATTTCAGATTTTTTTTTTTGCTATAAGGAGTATGAACATTCATATAAGTATTTTTGTGTGGACATATTTTTGGTGACCTGGGTGGTTCTGTCAACTGGACTGGTGGTTTAATGCTATGACCCAGGGATACACTGCCGTGTAGCCTGAGAAGCCAGACATTACCTGGGCTACATCCAGAAATGCATAGAGAACCACATGGCGACATGGCTTGAGTCAGAATCAGCCACATTCAAGGGTATACCCCAATACCTATACTATCTCTCTAGCAAAATAAACTAGACATGTTTCATTTTATTTTGGACAAATACCCAGGAGTTGTGTTTTTAGGAGGAATTGTAAGTGAATGTTTAACTTTATAAGAAACTACTAAACTGTTTAGCAAAGTACTGGATTTTAAACTTTTACCATCGATATCTGGGAGTTCCAGGGGCTCCTTGTCTTTGAAAACATCTGATAGTGTCTTTTTTTTTTCAGTTTGGCTTGTCTTGCAAATATACAGTAGAAGCTAATTGTATATTCTTCCTCTCTAGTTTGTTTCATTTAAAAAACACAGGAATTATTGAATTTGTATTTATTTTTGTTATTAAAGGATTGCTCTTACAGACAACTCAAGATTTAACTCTGCCTGGTTTAAATCCCTAATATTTAATTTTTGCTCTGGTTGGGGTCAGTGTTATAATAACTGGCCTTTAGGCTCTAAAAAATTATAAGCAGAGCAGAACTGTGTAAATGAGAAAAACTCACAAAGAGGCCAGTGTATCTGTTCAGATGCATTGCATAATTGTGGTTTAGAGCTACTCTTCCACTGTTCACTTGAATGTTCATCATTTATTAAATTGGTCGTGGTCATGGTCTTCCTGTACTGCTAGCAAAGGATTGTTCTTCTTTGCTATCCACAGATATCCTCATTCATTCATTCAATGAATATTTGTGATAATCCTCTTATGTTTCAAAAGCTCCTCTGAATGCTGGTTAAACATTAGTGGCGAAAAGTATTTTCTTGTCATCCTGGTGCTTAGGTAAAGTCCAGGGAATAAGAAACAAAATTAATCAGCAAGAAATGGATTAGATAGTCCACCAGCTGATAAGCAGGAAAAGAGTCTTTGCAGAGACGAAGAGCCGGTACTCCAACATAATACATGCTGTTATATCATTTTCTCAGCTGAGTCACTGAGGCATTCATTGGGAAGAGGGCCACCTCTGTCTGGAATTTTGTTCCTGGCTTAGCTGAGGAAGTGGAGGTGGAAGAGCTAGAAATGTGATCCTCTTGGGCGTGTTGGGGACTCATCTCTCTTACCTTCACAAAGATGTCTAAAGTGCTCTGGAGGGCCACATCTGAAAATAATGGCACTCCCTGTTCCTAATTTCTCTCTTTTATCCCCTGAATTTTCCAGATTTGGCCTCAACACTCTAGTTCCGGGGCACTATCCAGTTCAGGGTTGCCACCAGGAAGCTGCTAGGTAACTATTTTATTTTATTTATTTATTTTCTTATTTTTAAAAATTTTTATTAGTGAGACACCATGAGGTATAGTTGTAGACTTACAAATTTTGTGCTTGGGTTTCAATTATATAATGATCAAATACCCATCCTTCCACCAGTGCCCATTTCCCACCACCATGGATCCCAGTATCCATCCCACCCCTCATTCCCCCATCCCACCCTCCTTCTGTGGCAGGGCATTCCCCTCTGTTTCCTCTCTCCTTTTGGGTGTTGTGGTTTGCAAAGAGGCATTGAATGGCAATCATGTTTGGTCTATAGTCTACATCAGCATGCTTCTCCCATCCTGGAAGGATCCTCCCAACACCCTTTATTTGGTGCTCCCTTCTCTATCTGAGCTGACTTCTTCCCTAGCATGTGTGACTGACCTCCAAGCCATGTAGCAAAATTCCTGGTACTAATCTTGGCCATTATTGGGTGTTAGTCTCCTATTTTGTTACTTTATGTAGCTAACTACTTTAAATCCCTAGCCTCACTCTCACTCTCATTCTTCAACCCCTTCTCCATAGACAGAGACTTTTTAAAAAAGGTAAGCTGGGTCAAATTATCCCCCTGTTTGAAATATCCAGTTATAGTATAAAATACAATACTGACCCCACAAAGCCTTTCATGACTGAATGGTAATTTCTCTCTTTCCATGTGTCCTCTTGCATGTTTTATCCTAGTGATGGAATCTTTTGTTACTTTCCAAATGTACCATGCTTCTTGCCTTTGGTTTCCAAAGTCAATTCTTACCCTTCTCTTACCACCTATTTAATTCTTCATTGAGGATTCAACTTGACCACGTTTTTACTTGAGAATCCTCTCTAACCTCCCCCCAAGTCTTGACGTTTTTCCTGGATGCCACCATAGACCTCTGTGCATCTGTGTTATAACATGTACTTTACAACATATTCCACCTAAAATTGGGCTCCTGGTATTAGCAATTACAATTCATTCTTTTTTTTTTTTTTAGATCTCTCACACAGAACCTCAGGATGGCCAAGTTGAATGAATGAATGAAAGTAAAACAGAGTGAGAGAATTGCAAGAATTGCATAAATCAATGACTGGATAATGAATGAATGGCATAATGACTCAGTTTTCTAAAGGAGGGTCTGGCATTTGCATTGGCATTAAGCACTTGGTAGAGGCAAGGCAGGTCCTTCTCTGAGTATGGATATCAAGTCTTGATATTTGAAAACCAGAGGGTTTGTTTTCTACCTTGGGTCTTTCTTTTTTTTTAATTAATTAATTTATTTTGAATACCCATCCCTCCACTAGTAACCATTTCCCACCACCACGGATCCCAGTAACCCTCCCACTCCCCATACCCCCCACCCCACCCTGCCTCTGTGGCAGGGCATTCCCTTTTGTTCTCTCTTTCCTATTGGGTGTTGTGGTTTGTAAAAGAGTTAAGCCTGATTTTCAGGGAGAAATGTTGGATAATTTACTTTCCATTGATCACTTTATATATAAGGAGATGTCGCGTGGCTACGTAAGTGGCCACGTGGTTTGGAGTAAAAGTCCTGGTTCCTGCATAACCGAGTTATGCTTGTAGAGGCTCATGGTCACCAGGGTTCCATCTGGAGGAGGCGGGATGTGGCACCTACCCCATCTGGGACTTCCCGGTGATCTTGGCTCTCCTTGGGACTCGGAGCATTCTCCAGGAGCTGTGGAACCCCCCCGCAGCCCCTCTTCTCTGGCTGTGTGCTGTAAAGATGGCGCTGGGGGGCAGGTAACCCTGGGTCTTTCTTAAAGAGCGACACTGACACAATGTTTTCACAAAACATTTAGGTGCTGGTTTTGTCTCACAAAGTGAGACCGCAAGAGGTCTCTCAAAAGAGAGACCTCTCCTCTTTTCTTTTAATCCTTTGGGTTTTGGAAGCTTCTTTCTTTTTGGAGACATCACAAGCACAAGAGGCAAGGATAAATCTGGAGATCTATTGAATGTTTAAAGAGGGTGGAAGGTAAGGGAAGTGGAAAACAGAAAAAGTAAGTCAAATGCTTTCTAGGGACAAGTGGAGCTGGATCCCAGAGTTAAGACTGCTCAAAGAACAGGGTGGAAGAGAACAGTGAGGGCAGAGCCCTTGACATTGGCTTCTGAGAAAGGTTGTACAGATAAGATGGTAAGGAGGCATGAAAGGAATCCTAGATTAGAAGACAAGTGATCTTTAGTAAGTCACCAGCTTTTTAATTCTAATTCCCTTTCATTTGGGGCTGGAGAGATATTACAATGGTTAAGGCACTGGTTTTCCATGCAGCCGATGTTATGTAATGTCAAGGGAAATAAGAAGCAAAAATGAACAAGAAGAAATGAACTAGATAGTCCACGGAGCAGCTGATGAGAAGGGAAGTTTTCTTTGTAGAGACGATACTCCAACATAACACATGCTATTATATCGCCTTTTTTTCAGCTGAGTTACTGAGAAATTCATTGGGAGGAGGGCCACCTCTGTCTGGAATTTTGTTACTGGCTTAGCTGAGGAAGGAACAATGGAGGTAGTAATTTTCTCCCAGATACCAGATAGGGTCAGCCCCCTGAATACCACCAGAAATAATCTGAGTTCACACCTAGGAGTAAGCGTTGAACACAGTGAAGTGTGGCCCCCAAACCAACTCCCTTTCCTTTCTTCACCTGCCTGGAGGAAGAGGAATCCCTGTCATATGAGTCTACTAGTGGTTCAGTATAAAAACTTGGTTGTAATTCAAAATCATTGAAATTCTGTCCAGATATCTACTCTGCCCAGTGCACAATATGGCACCGTCTCAGAACACCTATATGACTACATCAAGTGGTCATTGCATGGCCTGCACATTTGCTTGCAGGAGACTGAAACTTTGAGAATGGAACAGTGGGTTGTATCCAGCACCTGGCATGGAGGACTAGAAGGTGGCTGGAGTTCCTTGTTTCCTCCTCTGTTCTTGAGGCTTAGAAACACAGAACACCTGGCTTGGAGGTGAGGATGCTTGTGCGAAGATGACCTGTAACTCCTAAGATTCCAAATTTAGCCTGTCAATAAACAAACAGTTCCTTTATGGGGACATAAACAGTGCTCAGTTCAACGAAGCTCAGCATAATAAGATGTTTCTCTGCACAGTGGCCCAAACAGCAATGAGGAAGAGATGCCGGGGGGCCCATACAGCCTGGGCCAGGGATGGGGTATAAAAGCCAGAGCCTCCAAGGGCCAGTCAGTCCAGGCAGGCAGCAGGCAGCAGGCAGCAGGCTCTCCACTCTCGCAAAGAAACCAAGGCCCCTTCGCCATGTCTGCAAGCTGCTGTTCAAGAAACTGCCCCTCGGTGCCGGCCATGTCTCTCTGCTCTACAGACGTGAGCTGCGGAGCGCCCATCTGCTTGCCTAGTTCCTGCCAGAGTCAGACGTGGCAGCTGGTGACTTGTGAAGAGAGCTGTGACCCCTCAAGCTGTGGCCCGCAATGTGGTCCGCCTCCCTGTCCTGTGAGCTGCGAGGCCGTGCTCTGTGAGCCAGCTTGCTCTGTGAGCAGCTGTGCCCAACCCGTGTGCTGTGAGGCTACCCTCTGTGAGCCAGCTTGCTGCCAACCTGTGTGCTGCGAGACCCCTTCCTGCCAGCCGGTCCTCTGTATGCCCGCAACCTGCCAGGCCATGCTCTGCAAACCCATGTGCGAGCCCAGCTGCTGCCAGCCAGTGATCTGTGAGCCCAGCTGCTGTCCGTCTGTCTGCGCTATGCCGACTCCCTGCCAGCCAATGCTGTGTGAGCCCGCTTGCTGTCAGCCCGTGTGCCCTTCGCCGAGCATCTGCTCCTCTGTCTGCTCGGTGGCCACCAGCTGCCCAGCTGTGTGTTGTGATCCCAGTCCTTGTGAGCCGCCTTGCTCCGAGGTCAGTGTCTGCCAGCCAGCTCCCTGCATGGCTCTGGTCTGTGAGCCCGTCTGCCTGCCCTCTGTCTGTTGTGCTCCGAGTCCTTGTGAACCACCTTGTGGCTCCAGCCCTTGTCCAGAGCCCTCTTGCTGCATCGCCAGCATCTGCCAGCCCATCTGCCCTGAGCCCAGCTCCTGCGCTGCCAGCATCTGTGTGTCCAGTCCGTGTCCAACTACCTGCTACATAGTCAAGCGCTATCAACGGCCCATGTCTTCTGAGCCTGCTCCTTGCTCACCTCCCTCCTCCAGTCAACCCCTCAGCTGCCGTCCAGGGTCTTCTGCATCTGCCGTCTGCCAACCAGCTTGTGCAAAGAGCTTCTACATACCCAGCTCCTGCAGACCACCCTGCACGACCTCGATTCCCTGTCGCCCCATCTGCCGCCCCATCTTCTCAGGACCCATCACCTACAGGCAGCCCTATGTGACATCCATCTCCTACCGTCCCAGCTGCTACCGCCCGTGCTACTCCATCCTGCGCCCCCCCACTCGCATCACTTCTATCTGTTACCGCCCCGTCTGTTCTCGCGTGACCAGTATCGACACCTATAAAACAGATTGCAAGGATTCCACTCCCACCCAACCGGATTGTGGTGACTCCACACCCGACAAGGTTGGGGAAGTCATTGACGTCAGCCCCTGCCAGCCTACTGAGCCCAAACCTGCCAGCCCCCCTGCCTGTGACACTGCATCTAACCAGCCGGCTGCTCCCAAGGCTGCCCCCAAGAACACCAACAGCTGAATTGACCTTGGCCACCAGTTCCTGAAAAATAAGCCAAGAGCTAGAAAGAAAGCTTGACTACGCTCTCCCAAGCTCCTTAGGACGAAGCTAGAATCCTTTCTTTCTACATCATCATTTGCTTTTTTGCATTGCTTCAAAGAACTCACTAGAAATGCCAGTTCCGAACAGTCCAGATGAAGGCCTTCTAGACACTGATTAAGGGACTTTGTGAGTTCCTGTCTTCTGCTGCTGCCAACAAGCTGAGATATGCAGCTTTGCTGCATCTCAAGTCTCTCTCCTGACCAAAGTGGTTACCCCCCCCCCCATCTCTTGTGTATACTCCCTTGTGGTGTTATGCATCTGTTCCTTGGGAACATCCATGAGGTGAAGATATTTAACTGTTCAATAAAAGCAGCTAACTTGAAGTGGCATGTTCTCATTGCTCTCTCGTCAATGCAATGCTCGCTCTCAGCAGCTGACTTGCTCAATCTTTGAGAACAACTTCATCCATCATCCCTTCCATTCATTCCCCCACGATTTAAGAAATACTAGCTTTTTCCAGGGTATATGTTAGGTTCTCTTGAGAGAAAGATGAAAGTCTCAGTGCCTTCTCTTCGGCAGCTCCCTCTCTGGTGGGTTGATCAGATTGAGACAAAGACTGCATTCCATTGTGAGAAGAACTGGGAAAGAGGCCAGGGCACAACACAGGACACTGAATGTAGCAAGGGAATCTGGGAAAGGTTCTTGTGATACTGAAGCTGAGTCTTGCAGCACAAGTAGGAATTAACCAGTTTTATAAAACAGGAAGGAAGATCTTTCCAGGCAAGGAAATATAAACAAATAGATGAATGACTACATCTCCATTGGGTGAGGCTAGGATAGAGGTATGTGGTGAGGGGTGCTCAGGTGAGCTCTGAGGTCAGGTGAGTAAACCTTCCCTTGCTGAGTTTTATATGCTAGATATAAGTGTTTGGGTTTGGTACAGGACTGATAGGAAGGCATCAAGGGACTGAATACAGAGATATGAAGAATACAAGGTTTTAGAATGTCCCTCTGGCTTTGATGCAGAGAACTAAAGGGAGGTCTTGAGTATAGATAGACTGGAGAGAAAGTCAATGACTTTGAAGTTGCGGGGATGAAAATAACAAGGAGTGGTTCATTCTTACAATAGGGAAGTTAACCTAGATTTCTTGCCCAAGAGCTTTTCATATGAAAAGGCCCTCTCAGACACATTGTTTTTGTAAATTCATGCATAAACTCTTGTATTCCCTAAAGGAAGAGCCTCTTTAAAGCTGTAACTCTGCATACTTCCAACAGATTGTAGAGCTATCCCCTATCCTCAAGAAGCAGCTTAGGGGGCTGGAGCGATAGCACAGCGGGTAGGGCATTTGTCTTGCATGCAGCTGCCCTGGGTTCGATTTCCAGCATCCCATATGGTCCCCTGAGCACCGCCAGGAATAATTCCTGAGTACAGAGCCAGGAGTAACCCCATGTGTGGTGTGACACCCCCCCCCCAAAAGAAAGAAGCAGTTTAGGCTGACCCTGAGCATAGATATTCTCAACTTTGGTACTGTTGACAATTTGATCTGGATAATTTTTTGCTGCAAATTGTAGGCTGTCTTGTGCAGCCTACATAGGAAACTAAACTTGATGTTTTGTCTGTTTAAACTAGAAGTTAGAATCCCCTGAGTACCATGACCCCAAAATTAGATATTGGTGAACATCCTCTGGGGGTAGGATTATCCCTATTTGAAAACCTCTGAGTGAGACAGTAGCAGAGGGAGAAAGTCAACAAGGACCTTCTTAGGTACTTTGGTTTTGGAGTTGTCTTATCAGGTCATTGGGATTTTTCTTCACCTTTTTCCAGTTAAATGAGGAATGGACCAGGACTTTAAATCTCAGGCTGAGGCATGGAACCCATGTATCTTGTGTGTCACAGCAATTCCAGGAAGTCAGATTTCTTTTCTACTATTTTATAGATGAATATGAAGGTGAAACAATGCATCTGACCTCAACAAAGGCAAGAAAACTTGTGTATTTGTGCAAATTGCGGTATAAACATGCAATGTTTTGCTGTTGTGAAAATGACTGGAAACTGGGTGTGCAGCATCTTGGGAGACACTTATTAATGGAATTTTGGCTGATATATACAAGCCTCAGAGGCCATAAAGATATTCAGGTTCCAAAATAACACACACACTTGGGGGTATGGTGCTGCCCACAGGTCAATCTGTACCTGTAAGGTGAGTGCATCAGCAGCCTGATGGTGTCTTCAGACTTCTAGATACCTCAAAATTGCTGCTGTGCCTTTGGCTAGATCCCAACAACTTGGGGCCAACTTTACCAAGAAAGTAAATGGCCAAAAGTCAGGTATGTGGGAGACACACCCACAAACCACCTCCGGTTCAGCTATATAATTGGAGGCAAGACCTCTCTGGTTCCTGATCGAACTGCTTAATGGCCATGATCCAAGAGACTCAGAAACAAATCTAGGAACCCAGCGGCTTTTGGCAGAAATGTGTCTTGTTCCTGCAGTAGGTTAGCGGTGCCAGGCCACCCCAGTTGGAAATCAGTTTCATGCCTTGGCCTATTCCCCCTGGTGGCTCGGTGGCCACCATCCTCCAGAGGCCATTGGACAGTCAGGTTTGGGCCCGCAGTGACAAGACACACAGGGCCTCACGGGATGGGGGTGGAGCTGGCCCTTTCCTCCCAGCCCCAACGAGACCCCAAGTCGCCTCCCACAACCAGCCTCTCAGGCTCCTGATCAAGCTGCTTAATGACCATGATCCCAGAGACTCAGGAACAAATCTTGGAACCCAGCAGGTTTTAGCAGAAATCCCTCCAGATTTAATTGTTAAAATTTCGGAATTCCAAAATAGTGCGGCCACTACTACAGCCGTGCAACATCATATGTTATTCATAATCAGGAATTGAAAACAAATTGTCTACAGTTGGGCTGGAGAAATATCACAGCAGGTAGGGCATTTGCTTTGCACGCGGCCAACCTGGCAGACCTGTGTTAGATTCTTCCGCCCCTCTTGGAGAGCCCAGCAAGCTACCAAGAGTATCTCGCCCGCACAGCAAAGCCTGGCCAGCTCCCCGTAACGTTCTCGATATGCCAAACACAGTAACAACAAGTCTCACAATAGAGACATTACTAGGCCCGCTCAAGCAAATAGATCAACAATAGGAGGACAGTGCTACAGTACTACAGTGCCTTTTTGGCAGATCTGAGTGTTGGGGTAAAATCCCAAATAATAGTGGTGGGTCTGGTGTCGAAATATTGAATGTAATAAATGTAGAGAGAGAGTAATGTGGAAATCATCAGCCCCACAGGTAGGGAAGGGTGTAGGATGTGGTGTATACGGGGGTTTTTGGTGGTGGAAATGGGCACTCGTGAAGGGACGGGTGTTTCGTCATTGTATGATGGAGACTTAAACCCAAAAGCTTTATAACTGTTCTCATGGTGATTCAATAAATAAATTTATAAAAAAGAAAACAAAGTAAGGTGGAGTTCATGCCCAATTCAATCAGCCTAATCAATGGATGAATAAATAGCAATACTCCTACATTAAAAAACACATATACAGACAGAATACATACATGTGCATATGCACATTCAGAAACATACACACAAATGGACATATTTGATGTTGATGATAATCCTGAGATACAGTTTCAAACACCTATAATCCTGAGTAAAGTTGAAATCTTGAAAAACAAATAAAAGTGAATATTCAAGCAAAAGATATAAGAATATATTCCCGCCAAATCATTCAATCCCATGCAACTTCTTCCCTTTCACATTATGCCAGTTTTGCCTTTAGACAGCACTCTTCAAGAATTCAACATTTCAGCACCTTCTCTTTTGGAGGGTGGTTGGGTTTGGCCCAACAAACCCAGTTCCTGGCTTTGTGCTCAGAGATAACACTTGGAGGTACTTGGGAGATCAGAATCAGTGTCAGGGATCAAACACATGCAAGACAATGTCTTAACGTTGTATTCTCTGGCCCCCTCAGCACTTTCTGAACCAAAGACACTTGCTGATGTAGAGATTCCCCAGCATTAACAAAACACATTTTGATAAATGAGACTCAACAAAAAAAGATACATTTTAGTGTACATCTAAATTTGTGAAAGATAAAATTTTTCCTGATAATATAGTTTATTGTGTAAAGTCACCTGTGAAATGTCCAATTGTGTTTTACTAAGTTTCTTCAGCAAATCTTCTTTTAATTATATAAATGCATGTCTTTAATGCATGTCTTTCAAAATTTCAGTTTTGGGATTTTAGTCCTTCACGATTATAATTTTCAGGATTTTAGATTTTTGGATTTAAACATCTGGGACTGTGACTCTTGGAATTATTACTCAAACCCACAGATATTGTTATATATGATATTGAATATAAAATTTGGAACAGCCACACATACAGTAGGTAATATATAAATGACAAAAACTCCAATTATCCAAAGTTTCTATTTTTTCATTCATCACCATATGTCTTGATGTGATCAAGAAAACATAACAGTCACTGGTGAAATTTAATAATTTCATGCCTAAGACACAGCAGAATGAAATTTGTTCTAACAGAAATGCTTATTTTTCTAGCTTTATTGAGGTATATGTGATAAATACCTTTAAATGCTTAAATCATCTTGAGATTACTTAATATACATATGTTGAGTGGAAGAATTTCTTCATTTCCCACATATTTGTTTTTTTATCCTTTATTTAAAGTCTACTCTTTTAACAAGTCATTTCAATTATGCAGTACAATGTTGTCAAATATAATCACCATGTTAGATATTAGAATACAGCTTCACATGCTCTTCTACCAACATACAAAAAGGGCTTTTTGTGCGTGTGTTTAAGTGAAAGTGAGGTAAAGAAGAGAATCAGAGAGAAATAGATCAAATGAAATTCAGGTACAATTTGACAATTGAATGTGGACCTGGTGATATGGAAGTTCTGTGTTACGGAGGCGCTCAAAGCTGACTTTCATCAGTTCTAAACCTCCACAGGCAGTTCCTTGGGTGACAGAGATGAGAAAAGAAAAAAGTGGTAGACTCCCTTCTGGAGGCTCTCCCTCTACTTTACCTCACTTCACAAAGTCTTAGATCTAGATCAGATATAAAACTTTTAAACAAAAACTATTGTTTTTATGGGTACAGGATACTGCCTTTTTTTTTCTGATTGGAATGAGCATAGTTTCTCAAGCATATTCAAGTTCTTATTTGATTGACCTATCAGGTAAGACAAAATGTTTCCTCTTGCGAGATGAGAATTGAGGATATAGGCACTCAGGAATAAAACATAGTGGAGGGATTCATGTTGTTTGCAAAACAAATAGCATTGATATTGAGGGCAAACAAAGCAATTAAAGCTGAGACATCAAAAGGAAGGTGGAGGAGGGGCTGGAGCTATAGAACAATAGGTATGTCACTTGCCTTGCATGTAGCCAGTGTAGGTTTGATCCTCTGCACTCCATATGGTCCCATGAGCTTGCCAAGAATGGTACCTAAGTTCAGAGAAAGGAGTAAACCCTGAGCACCACTGGGTGTGACCCCAAATACCCTCTTGCCTAAATAAAACAAAAAAAACAAAAACCAAACCAAACCAAACCAAACCAAAAAAAGCAAACAAAAAAGGGAAGGCCATGAAAGTCATTAAAATGACAAGGGAAGGACTTCCCAGGCATTGTTCTGATTAAAACACAAACTCTTCCTTTGAAAATGAGGGTGAGGAAGATGTCAAGGAGAAAGCATTTTGTCATTGAGTGGCATTTTGAAAAGTACCTTCCAGAGTTTTCTATAATTGAAGAGAATAAAGAGTTATTTTTTTTTCTAATTGAACAAAACCTGAGCAAAAGTCATGCAATGGATGAACTGTTGGTACTTTGAGCACTTGGATGATGAATCGACATGTGATTTTTTAGCAGAGCCAGATATTGAGAGGTCCGTGTGGAGCTGCCAAAGCCCTGACCCCTCCATTGCACGTGCACTTCCAGCAGGATCTGCAAATGGAACTGTAAGGGAGGCTCAATCCTGTAGCCACTGCACAGTGAGATCATGGTAGTACTGCTGTGGCTACGTTTACATATTTACAGAACTCACAGACTCTTGACGCTTTTGTATGCTTCAAATCACTTCTGGTGCATGTAAGTCCCTGTTTCCCTGGCCCTCTGGGTCAGGGCGTCTAACATGGTTAAGATCAGAAGATTTCAGGGTCACTCTGGCCTAAGTTTCAATCTGCTTCTATCTCTTATTGCTTGCATAACCTGGGGGGTATCTTTTAAAACTCTCAAAGTTAGTTTTGATGTCTCTAACAGTGATGGCCACTATACTAACTAGGTAATGTGATTCAATGAAAAATGCAACCAAGGACTTGGAATAGAGCAAGTGTTCCACCAATGGAAACTATTGTTACTGTTCTAATTATTAGTGATATTGTAAAGTAAATTTCAGGAAAGCCACATGGGGAGGTTCTAGAAGGAGGTGGAGACTCTGAAATGTCTGCATGCTCTTTAAGAAAGAATTTCAGGAGGGAAGTGACAGAGATGTAAGATGAGTTTATCTGTGAAATGAAGGAGGGGAAAAGGAAGTCACCCCAAGTTGAGTAGGCAGATCTCTAAAACAGAATATGCACAATGAAATAAAAGAAAGGGATTATACATCTCAGAGAGGCAAGTGACCCCAAGAATGGGGACATACACCTTTGCCTCTGTAAAATGTGTTTTTTTAAATTTTATTTTTATAAAGTTGTTCAAAATGATTTATTACATTCAATATTTCAGCACCAATCCCACCACCTTTATAGCTTCCTACCACTATTATTTTGAATTTTCCCACCACCATCCAAGCCTGCCCCATGATGATACTATAAGATTTCCTTAGAGAAAAGTGTGTGAAAAATGTGTATCTCACCTTGGAGCCATTAAGCCCCTGTATAAAATATCACTAACATGTTGTTACAGGTTGAGCCTTGTGCGCTGATATATATATATATGTATATATATGGGATTATACATATCGATATATATGTATATATATATATGCCAAACACAGTAACAACAAAGTCTCCAATGGAGACGCTACTGGGCCCGCTAGAGCAAATCGATGAACAACGGGAGAACAGTGATATAATAACAGTGATATATATATATGTATGTATCTCAAGATTGATTGCCTTCTACTTTACACCCATCAAATGTGCTACTCTTGGTATATCAGTGACATAAAGTATGAGACGTGAATCCACTGAAAAATCAGGTATGCAGGATTTGTGACTGAAACCTCCAAGCTCGCATGGAGTCAGGAATGGGTCCCATCTCCCCATCACTCTGCACTTCTGGCTGGATTCCTGGCAGACATGCTCATGAACCACCTCTGAGCACCATATAAACTCATTAACGGCCATGATCCAGAGACTCACAAATAAATCTTGGAAGAGAGCAACATGCTGCGGAGATGCTTCTGGACTCCAATATCACCATCTAGTTAAAAATTTAACTCCTGGGGCCAGAGTGATAGCACAGCAGGTCGGGTGTTTGCCTTGCACGCGGCCGACCTGGGTTCAATCCTCGGCATCCCATATGGTCCCCCAAGCACCGCCAGGAGTAATTCCTGAGTGCAGAGCCAGGAGTGACCCCTGAGCATCACTGGGTGTGACCCAAAAGACAAAAAAAATTAACTCCAGCTTGAGCACCCTATTTAAAATTTTAGAACTCCTGTAAAATGAGTTTTAATACAGTTTTTCTAAACTGTCCCTTATCCCCAAATTTTGTGGGGAGAGAAGTGGGAACTGTTGATGGTTTTCCTTGGTATTCTTAACTTTACCTTTTTCCAGTGTTAGAGAGTCTCTTTCTGGAGATCCAGAAGATACCGTGGGCCTGAAATTCTGCATCTCAAAGATTTTCAGGGCCCCTAGAAAGAAGCCTGTATGTCAAAGACCTTCTTGCCTGTGGACTGGTTTGCTTGGACACAAAGTCTTTGCCCAGCCCACATTGTCCAGGTCTTTTTAAGTCCCTGACTACAGCACTGGGACTTGCACCTGATTTCCTTCAACCACCATCTTTGACTTGGGCCTCCCTCTGTGGGCCTCCTTTCACAGGCTCAAAGCATCATTTCCTGGTTGTTGGAGGGGAGTAAAGGCAGGGCTGCATTCCTGGCAGAGGAGTGGGCTGCTGTGGCAGGGCTGTGGTGGCCTCCTGATGAGAGGGTAGTGTGGGCCGAGGCCGCTTCAGGGAGGCTGGAGAACATCCTGTAAATAAGAGACAGCTCATTCCAGAGCCGGAGTGGCATCCAGGAATCCAAACACAGCAAAGAAAACTCCCAGCTAAACAGACAAGTTCCCAAAGTGCAGACAGCATCTCCCAGGCTCCAGAAGCCTGCTAATCAGATGTTTGTATGCAAATGAGTGGAAACAATAACAAGGAAAAGATGCTCTGGGTCAGGTCAACATCCCCAGCAAAGGACTATATAAGCCAGTTGGGGCCTGATGTCTGGCAAACTCTAAGACTTCTGAATCTGAATCCCTCAAGGTCAGGCCCAGCAGCATGGCAGCAGACGGCTGTTGTCCTGCGAACGCCACGACCGTGCCCACCATCTCCGTATGCTCCAATGGTGGCAGCTGCCGAAAGGGGCTCTGTTTGCCTAGCACTTGCCGAAGCAGAACATGGCAATTGGTTACGTGTGAAGAAAAACACTAGGCATCCAGCAGCGTCCCTGAGGGCTGCGGACCAACTTCTTGCCAACCTCCCTGCCTGCCAGCAATGACTTGTGTGGGTTTTGTCTGCCAGCCCATTCGCTCTTACACAGCCTGTGAGTCAGGCACTGGTCAGTCTCCTCATGTGGTGAGCTCCTGCCAGCCCTCAGGTTCAGAATCCAGCGCACGTCAAGCTCAGAGCTGTGAAGTACCCGGCCCTGGCCAGCTGAGCTCCAGCCAGCAACCTGCCTGCACATCTGGCTCAGGCCAGGCAGCCTGTGACCCATCAGTGGGCAGTGATCCTAACTCCCGGCAGCCGCCCTGCTCTGAGGTAACTTCTTGTACTGAAACACCTTGCCCACCAAGTGTCTGTGTATCTTGCCCAGGCCAGGCAACTTGTGGTCAAGCTGACTTATGCCCACCTATGAGTTGTGAGGTCCAGCCCTGCCAATCAGCATATTATCAGCCCATCTGCTACATTTTCAAGCCTTGTGAATCCGTTCTGTCCATGCCTGTTTCCTGCCAGTCTTCACCTTGTGTGTTCAGTTCTTGCAATCCTACTTGCTGTGTGCCCTCCCCCTGCCAGCCACTTTACTGCCAAACAGCTTCTTCCATATCCTTTGTGTGCCAGCCAGTGACTCCCTGCCAACCACCTTGTTCTGTACCAACCACTTGCAAACCAGCTTCCGGTGGCACCGTGTGTTCTGGCCCACCCACTTGTGGATCCACTTCCTGTAACCAAGGAGGCTGCCAATCCTCTTCCTGTCAACCAACTTGTTGTGTGACAGGTGGGGGAAAATCGTCCAGTGCTGGCTCCAATTGCTTCCAACCAGCTTCTCCAAGTGTCGGTAAATCTAGTACCTGTTTGTCTGTTTCCTGACAACCCAGTCTCGAGTCTGGCTTCTGCAAGGCACCTGTTCATTGATGGAGAACTCTGGTACCATTTCTGAGCTCCACTGCTGTCTACAAGTCTGCAATGAACAGTTGTGATTCCCCCAACTGAGCATGGATGCTGTCTGCTTACTGCCTTTCCTTAAAGTTCAGTCCCAGGTGCCTCCAGGGATGGCCAAGGGAACGAGCCAGCTCTCTTAAAGAAGAGAGACCCCATCTTTCCCAAGCACGGTCCATGCTATGCTTCCATTTCCTGATGTCAATTCATTTCACTCCAGCAAAGTCTTCCCCCAGTTCTTCTTTCATCTTATGCTGCCCAGTCTTGAAGAAGACTCCTTTGTTACTAATTACTAATAAAAATGTGACTGCTAATAAAATGATGACTGCTCAAGCTTAATAAAAAGACTCTCCAAGTGCTTTTTTTTATTTCTTTCAGGGTGTCCCTATGAGAAATCCTCTGCTCACACTTGACCTTAGGCTTTCCAAGCCAATGGTCTATACAGCTAGCCGATGGTAGAAATACATATACTTAAGCAGGAAGGAAGGAGGATCAATAATTCCCCAGCTTCCGAACTAAGAGGTTTTTGGAAGTGCGTAGCTTCAGTTTCCACACAGTAAAAGATGGGAAGTCAAAGATAGAAGTAGTCCAGAATGGTCCAGATAAGGCATAGAACAAAATAAATCCGAGGCTTTGATCATAAAGAAGAGTTAAGGAAAATGCCCAGGGCATTGATTTTAATGTGCAATTTATCTAATGATCCATTTAAATGGCATGAAAATTGCTTTAGAAAAATTTTGTCAGTTGTTTGTTGACAATATTTATAACATGTTTCGAGATAACTTATAAATACAACTTCTTTGGGGAACTGAGTAAATTTGGTATTTCTAGGTATAATTATTAAATCTAAACATTTAAAACATAATTATATTGGTTTTCTTTTGGAAAAAGCTTAGCGGACAATTCATAGTATATTTGGAGCAATAACTTGGAGTTTCTTTAAAGGAGCTCTGGGACTGTGAAACAATTTAGACCTAAAACCCAAAGCTCTTCACATAGCTTTTCAGGGGACATGTAAGAGATAGTCACTGTGGTATGTCTGTGAAGGCACTGATTTTATAGGATCTCTGTTAGAAGTGTGGGCAAGGGACACATTCCTTCCATGGAGGAAAGCATTAGCCAGGGTTTCCAGAGAAAAAGAATCAACAGGAGGCGTGAGTCCCTAATAAATATGGAGATTTAGAAAAGGAACAAGAACTCAACTCACAGAAGTATGAAGGCACATGAGACCTAATCTGCAATGTGGGCTGCCTGGCAGGAGACCCAGGGGCATGCATGATGAAAAAGTCTGAAGGGCTATCTGCCAGAGGATGGATCTCCAGGTGAGTGTATGATGGCCCCATAAAAAGGACAATGTGCTTGATCCAATCAAAATGTTAATTTTATCCAAAATACTCAGAACAATGTTTGACCAAATATCTGAACACATTGTGACCCAGTCAAGTTTAAACAAAATCTACAATCATACATCTTATGCAGGAATAAGAAGCAAGAAATTAGATGAATAGGTGTAAAGCTGGATCTTAAACATATTCTACTTAGTGACTAGACAGAGTAAAAATACATTGCAGTTTCCAGGAACATATAGTACTTATGTACTAAACATTTTATGAGAATATGTGAAAACAAAATTCAATGATCAAAATGCAGTAGCTGAGAATGGCTCATATGAATAATGGCAATTAAAGAAATTGATATATAAGCACAGAAAGACAAAAATAACTAAGAGAAGAACATTGTAAGGACCAGAAATAAAAATGTGCCAGAAAAAAAAATGTGCCAGAAAGTAAAGGTAGAATTGACTCAATTATGTACAAATAATTTTTTTAAAAAAATGAAATTAATAAAAGAAAGAGAGGATCTTGATCACAAAAGAAATACCATGGATAGGCTGTCTCCTAAAATTGACATTTGATTGGTTTTCTCCTAAGTATTCCAAGGACACTTCCGTTACAAAAGATTGATGTGATTTTGGGAAGTAGGCTGAATTTTCCCTTAGTCCTAAATAGAATTTTTGATAATGTGCATGTTACAAGTTTAAGGAGTTACAATTTTTAAAAAAAAATAAATCTGTTAATTAATGTTATATTCTCAACATGCCTGGAATATAAACTTTTATTTTGCAATAGTTCTGACCTATCTATGTCTATGTTATTACTTATATTACTCCAATGATAGATTTCTGGCAAAGGTTTTCATGGACCAACGCCTTCTTTTTAATTAATCCCTGCCAAACTGCAGGTTTTAAACATGTCAAGTAGAAAACGTGGGATGAGAAATTTTGTATCTTCCTTGTGCTTGGCAGAAGTTTAAATAACATGGCATTTATTAGTTCCTTTAGGCCTGCTCAAACTTGTCCATAAAATTGTCTTAAACTCCTCATATAAACAATGCTCGGCCGAGTCTAAACATGCATATAGCCTAATTTTTATTACGCTATGTACAGGACAGGGGAGCAATTTTTAAAATACAGGAAAGTTTTAAGAAATACATTGCAAACACCCACCACCCAGAATCGACATCTTATATTTTGGATATTTAAAATGTATCATGGAGGGGTCAGAGAAACAGTGAAGAGGTTAAGGTGCTTTACCTTACATGTAGATCACCCCAGTTTGACCCCAGCACACATATAGTCCCATGAGCAACACCAGGAGTGATCCCTGAACATTGAGCTGGAAGTAGCCTCTGAGCACTGCCAACATTTACCCTCTATTTCTTTGTGTCGGAAATCCAGGTGCGGTTAAAATAAGAAATTCTAGCAAGGGTCTTTTATATTTTTTAGTTTGGTGTTGGCTGACACTGTAGCCCTTTTATGGCCTGGTGGGGGAAGGACTCAGTTTCAAGTTCACTCATGTGGGTGTTAGCAGGCCACTGGTTCTTGCCAGCCATTGGCCAAAGGTTGTTTTCTTGCCATATGGTGGGATTCTTCATACAGTAGTAAGTGATTCCCGTGACATTACAGCTAGACTCTCCTAGACAAAGTGGTCTGAAGATGAGTATCCAAGTCAGAAGCCATAGTCCCTCTATAGCCTTGGAAGTAACATTCTTTGCACTTAGAGACTGCTGACTGTAGTCTTAATGATACCCATGTTGAAAACCTCCCTCCCTGTTTTAGTACCACACAAGTACAGACTCCAGAATCTCATGCCTGGACGCAAGTCTAAGAGTGGATGGTTCTCTTGGACTCTGGGCTCAACAGGACCCGGGAGGGGAGATCCTCTGCCCATTTCCCCCAGTCTCCAGCAACCCAGGGATCACACCCATAAGCCACTTCCTACCAGATAATCTTGTCATTGGCCACCAACCAGATCACATGGCTACTTCTCCCGGAAGGGAGCATAACATGAGGCCCCCATAGCCATACCACTGGACTTTGTGCCAGTCTATTTCACTCGGGGTGCCCCAGAGGGGTTGCGTGAGAGCCATCCTTGCCCCAAGGACCCAGCCTCGGCAGCAGAAAACCTCCACAACCCAACCGCTGCCACGCTCAAGGCCACTCCCCACACACTTGGACCAAACCTCACATATGAGTGAATATATTCCTGGACTGACACATCATAAGACACTCCCTACCATTCTTCATAATTACTACACCACATGTGATGGGGTTCAGACAGTAGGCAACAAATCATAAAGGGAAATATATATATGTGTATATACATATTTTCAGATATATACATATATATATATCAAAGATCACATCACCCAAACTTTAACAACATAGTTAGTGATATACTATAGAATGTCTTAATGGCTCCTGCCAAAATAGAACAATTTTCACACTGTTTCCTCTATGAACACTTTTTTGTAAGCTTGTTCAGCAGTTCTTCATAATAGACAATACAAAATAGATTATTTCAATTGTGTTTTGGGACAGGGCTTGGGGCTTGGGATGGAAACATCCTGAATTTTGTGGTGGGAAGGTGTAATGGTGGTGGAATTGGTGTTTGAATATTAAATGTAATCAAATATTGTGAACTAACTTATAAAAATAAAAAAATTGAAAAAATAAATTGGTGCCATGTTAAAAAAAAATCAAGTTTTGGGTGGAAAAGAAGCCTTAGTCTATTCACTATGTGGACAATAAAGTTTCCTAAATCTGTGAAAAAAAAAAGAGTGGATGGGTCTCAACAGATGTTGCTCAGTAGTTGAGGGCACGCCTTATCTGCATGAGACCATGGGTTCAACCTCCAGTCTCTCAAAAATAACAAAAGATCATAATACAGGAGTGAATGAATCTTCTAAGCATTGGTTTTCCTTTGCATATACTGATATATTCATGGATCATGAATTGAATGAGAAGTGAATACAAAGGTATCCAAAAAAAATGAGCATCACTTAGAGGAACTTACTTTATATTAAATTCTAGGTGCTATTTTAGAAATTTTTATCTCCATATTTAACTTGAAAGGAACTAAAATCTTTCCCTCTCAATCTCTCTTCTCTCTTCTCTCTCTCTCCCTCTCTTTTTTATGTAGGAGTACTGCTATTTATTCAGCCACTGATTAGCTGATTGAATTGTGCATGAACTCCACCTTATTTTTTTTCATTTTTTATAATTTTATTTATCGAATCACCGTGAGAGCAGTTACAAAGCTTTCGGGTCTAAGTCTTGGTCATACAATGAAACACCCGTACCTTCACTAGTACCCATTCCCCACCCCCAATAACCCCAGTATACCCCCATCCCATGCCCTCCCCCTACCTGTGGGGCAGATGATTTGCACATTACTCTCTACTTTGATCACATTCAATATTTTGACACCAGACCCACCATTATCATTTGAGATTTTACCCCAACACTCAGATCTGCTGAAAAGGCAAGAGTAGACAATTTGTTTCCTATTGCTGGTTACGAATGACATATGATGTTGCGTGGGTGCAGTAGTGAATGTG